TATCAAGAATATCTTGAGATTTAATGATATGATAAAAAATAAATACTACAATAATCATGCTTTTACCCCACAATTTCTTTCTTCCTACATATATTTCCTTTTCTTTCACTGCCAACATACTCTCTTACTACTTCTATATTCATATCTACATTTTTCATTCTCTATTACAATGAATCAAATATCAGCATCAAATAACTAACATTTTGCTTAGTGAAAGTAGGTATATTTAGAAGATGGCTTGACATGAATCATCAGATACAAAAACTGGAGTTCTGTAATTTGATGCATAATTTTACACTGACAGTCTTTGACACCCAATACTACCAAACTGAGTAAAAAACTTTGAAAACAATCTACTATTGTTGATGCTCAGGGCCTCATGCTTGTTAGGCTTACTATTTGTTATGCTAATCATGGAAAATGGAACAAATTCAGACAAAGCTATATTTCTTTTGAAACTGAAAAATATGGTAGACAATGCTGATTTTGTAGATGGTGAGTGTATCTTAGTTACACTTGTGTAACTAACCATAAATACTAACTGGATTTTAAAATGTAGCAAAACCCTTTAGTTTGGAATAAAAATGCTCTTTAGTCAATTATATATTTTATAGTTTTTAGTGGTAGGTAGTATTAAAATTATAATAATTTATTTTCTGCCAAGCTGATTTGGTTTATTTCTACCTGAGTACATATGATGATGGATCATTGATCTGTTGTTAAAGTTGAGAGGGCTGGGCTGAAGAACTTTAAACAATCAGAGAAAATATGTAATTGTGAACTTCATACTAAAGAGGGTTACTGACATAAATATTCTACAACAACAAAGATGATGTTTGCAGCCAGGCGCTGGTGGCTCATGCCTGTAATCCTAGTTACTCAGGAGGCTGAGATCTGAAGATAGCAGTTCAAAGCCAGCCCAGGCAGGAAAGTCCGTGAGACTCTTATCTCCAATAAACGACCAGAAAACTGGAAGTGGCGCTGTGGCTCAAGTGGTAGAACATTTGCCTTGAGCTGGAGAGCTGAGGGACAGCACTCAGGCCCAGAGTTCAAGCCCCACGACCGACCCCCCCCCCAAAAAAAAAAGACGATGTTTACTTTGGGTTTGGTGAAACTGGATCATTTTTGACTTGCTCACTTGTATCTTTGTAGGTTTGTCTTTGGCTTAGATTACTATAAGTAGTGTAGCTATAGGGAGAAGGCTAGAGTCATTCCAACAACTTCATCATTATTTAATAAAAGAATTATATGTAACCTTGGAAATTATTCAGAAAAAAATGGACAGATTATAATAAGGTTATATTGTTAAGGGGTTCTTTTTTCCACATATTTAAAATTTAAGTTCACTTTGAGATCGTTGACTCATTATTCCCCAAAGAAGAATCCAATACAGTATTATTTATCTCAAGTGAATAATTTAAATATCATTTTTTGGTCGGGGGTGTGTATCTAACTGGTAGAGTGCATGCCTAACAGGTAAGAGGCTCTGGGTTCAATCGCTAGAACAGAATTTTAAAAACAACAACAAAAGACTCTTCTGACAGCAATAAGAGACCTTGCAATTCACTTTAGCAATGTGAAAAAAATAATCAAATTGATATAAAAGAGAGTGACTTTACTGAATGGTTTTGTATTGTGATAGTCCTAGTAAAACTGTTTAACATCAGACATTAAGCAAGTTACCTATATCTTTGAGTTGGAGATGGTTTTGTAGTGTCTTCTATTGAAAATCTTTAGAAAATATATCTTCCACTGTAAAAATAATATGTCATACCCGTGAAAAGCTAGGAGTGGAAAAGTTTTATATTATATATGGATATGTGAATATATTTACTTAAGAAACTTATCTTTGGAAAGACATTGCTTTGATTATCTGGAGTATCTTAGCACTATATTTAATTGCTTAAAGACTGAGCAATGCCAAGATTTTACTGAACATTGAGAAGAATAATTAAATTCATCCATGTATTACCATGGGTATAAAATCAGGGAGAATATGATATTTTGGGTAGATCATTTTTTAAATGAAATAACAACCTTTTGCCACTTTATCCAATCTTCATTTTGAATATAATATATTGCAAATTTCACTTTTCTTAAACTAAAACTTATTTGTAGGCTTCCTTAAAAGATTTCATGTATTTATAAATACAAGCATATCTGATTATTAAATTTTGACATGAATATTAGAGGTATTATGGGAACAATGGGGCAAAAGTTCACAAGTGGTTCACATGCTCAGTCATTCATTGAAGGGATTGCTAATATAAATATATACTTATAAAACTTCAACTATAATTGACTACTGTAAATGAAACTATTATTTACTTCAGTGCCATCACTGACTTATTTTATTTTTCAAAATATTTACTATAAACAGAAAATAGCAACCTCTTTGTATGGCTGTAATGCAACTCTTCTCAAGTATAATTGAATCTGTTAAGAAATTAAAAATGGTTAAATCGAGTAAATTTTATTCATTAATAAAAGCCATGTTCACAGTCTAACTTTAAGAAAAATACACTTACTTATAATGTTGTCCCTAGAATGTGGAATCATACTAATTGCAGGATTTAAGTTACTCTTGGATAACATCAAATGACAGCCTCATTAATTTAGTTCAGATATTAGTAAACTTGTCAAACTTCCAAAAATAAACTGTCAGGAGTAAGGATATTATTGGTACTTCAAAAAAGTGAAAAACTGATAACCTTCTTACTTATTTCTAGCTAGATTAAATACATTGGTAACATGGGCTGAACATCTAAAACATTACTAATTATTCAGGAAACTTGAAACTATTTCATTTGTTTTTATATAGCTTCTACCCCAGATAACCACTTGCTTTCTATTAAGATGAGGAACTGTGGGTTCATAATAGGGCAAAGATCATGTTTTTATTTAGTCTGTATTCTGAGTCTGTTACACTGTTTAATAATTAATTACCTGGAAGGAGAGAATGAAATGATGGTTTGAATGTATGTTATGAAATTAGGTATATTGCTTTGATTCTTTATGGCTGTGAGGAAATTTTCCTTTCAGATTGTTTATCTTAATTAATAGTTTGAGCTGGAAAAGAGTGTTGTTCTCTTAATTTTATTTGAATGATATCAATGTAATAAATCAAGAAACTGTGTCAATGTTTTGAGAGGGGTCAATGACTCTTGTAAGTGCTGCTCTGGTAGTGAAGGCATAGAAAATATATTGTCTACAAAGCTGTTCATAGTTTATTATGAATTTCAGTCCATCTTTGATTGTTTCTGATTATTTTAATTATCTAGTCCTGATAAAATACACTGAAAAATATTTTTCCAGAGATCAGTATTTATTTGACTAGATATTCTATTTATTTGACTTGATATTCTATTTAATGGCATTTTTTGCCAGTCCTGGGCCTGAGTGCTGTCCCTGAGTTTCCTTTGCTCAAGGCAAGTCTCTACTAGTTGAGTAACAGCTCCATTCCTGTTTTTTTTTTGGTAATTTATTGGAAAAAAGAGTCTCATTGACTTTCCTGCTTAAGCTGGTTTCAAACTGCAATTCTTAGATCTTAGCCTCTTGTGTAGCTAGGATTACAGGTGTGAGTCACTGATACCTGTCTTTAAAGCTCATTTTTTGTTATTTTGTTCTAATGATATCAAATCATACCCTTTTTCACATGAAAGAAATCTTCTTTAAAGGTAGCTTTTTAATCTCAAGTCATCCTACTTAGGAAACAGTCCTTGGGTTCTATGATTTGAGCTATAAAATGACAGCTACATTTCTTAAAATCAGTTATCTGAAACTTATTATAGCCATGTTTTACTCAGAAACACCAAAGGCGTAAAATAAAATATATTTTAAATATCTTCAAAATACTATGAAAGTTCACTTATGAAAATAACTGTGAATTCTTATATGTGAATTCTAATTTGATGTATTTTGTTAGAACAACATTATTTTTACTGCATATAAATGGCCAATAATACCTTCAGGTTCACATAAAGAAAAGCTACAAAATCATACTAGGTAATTATAACTGTTTACTTGAAGGTGTAGCCTTCTATGAAAATTGTGAATTTGTTTTCTATTAAAGTAAAAGCATTAAGGAAATACCAATTTTGTAATTGCATTCTAGTTATAATTATTTGTGCTATATTCTAAATATATGGCTATATTCAATTAGATATTTTAGTAGAAAACAAAGTAATTACTTCAAGTTGAACATTTGTGCATACAGGGACTCTAATTCAATTTAAATGTATTTGTTTACCATGTCTAATGAAATATAAGATATACCAATGTAACTATGCCTCAGTGATGTATTGATAAAGTTTCATCAAAATATACTAATTTTTTGCCATCAAAATAGTTTATCAAAGACTTAAAAATCCTAATTTGTGCATGAAATTCAAAATGCTAGAGAAAACATTTGATAAGGATGTATCACTCCTGAAAATTATTTTACTTAGTGTCAGTAGCAATAAGATAGGATAAGTATTTCATTCAAAAGTAGCAAAGCTTTGGGGTTCTTTGCTTCCTAATATCATGTCACCAAAGTAATTCTAATTCTATATATTAAAATGGAGATTACAATATAACTGCTATTCCAAACAGCCTTATTAATAAAATGTTTTTTGAGAGATGGGTTAAATTGCTTCATGTACTTAAGGCTCATTTTGATTTTTCTTCTCTTTCTATCCATAGAGGAAAATAACCAATACCAGGGCATGTATGGGTGAGAGAAGGTAGGCAAAATATTTACTTGGTTGTTTGTGACTACCTTCATACATATGAGCTATGGACCCTTGATAGTTGCTCTGTGAGCCACAGTGCAAAGTCATTTTGGTATTTTGCAAGTGTATAACAGATGCATCTGTCAAATGGAAAGACATATTGCTGGCTTAAGAGTGCAAAGGAGAAATAATACTAGACTTATTTCCCCTCTTTTCCCTGGTTTGCATTGACTTTGTTCAATTACAGAATATGGAGATGCAAATCATAATATATTTACATAAACTTACCTTAAACAATTGATTCACAGCACCTGATGATTTGCCAAACTTCAAAACATCTGATGGCTGAGCTTCGACTACAATACCAGAACTAGAGAGTGGACTATTTGGATTGGAATGAAATTTTAAACTGGCAGTATCTTTGACGCCAAAAGAATTCTGTAATGTGCAGAAATATTTAAAAATTTCAGATTCCTTGGCATCAAGGATATCCTTGGACTCAGTGAGATACTTAAAGCTAGTAAAGTCCATGGAGCCAGTAGAATCTTTAAGGAGAGCACCAAATTTTTTGCTATCCCACTTTGCATAATTCCTTCCAAGTTTAGATGGATCATAAAATTTTAATGTGGTGAAACAACTGGGAATAGAAATATACTTTCTGTTGGTGGTAAAACTGAAAATGTGTCTATAAATAGTATTAGTGATGGAGGACAAAGGACTGATTTCTAATTCAGGGTCCAGGAGAAAACTACTTTTATTATTGCTGCTAGTAGCAAAATAAGGTGCATAATGATTATTCATAGTGTTGCAATTGGGGTTGATGATAGTACTAGAGCCAATGAAATGAGTATATCTAGGAATATAGGTAGTGCCTGAGATATAAAAGGTTCTAGCAGAATATGTATGGGGAACAGCACAAGTACAAGTAGTGATGTTGTTGGTGTCTGTTGTCTTGATAGTACTAGCTGCAGAGTTGGGTCTAATAACATAACTGCTTCTGTCAATATAGTTTAGGTTGACTACAGAGCTAGAGAAGACTACATGTATAAATTCTGGGACATAGTCAAGGTATGTGTTATAGTTTGGAGCAGCTTTATAACTATGACCTGCAGTGTTAGTGGGTCCTATATCATAGCTGAGGTCTTCTTCATTGTTAGGACTAATAGCTTTGTTGTGATCAGTGTCATTACTGGAATTAGCATTATAGTAAGAGTTAGGATCTTTCTGGAGATCAGGGTTATTGTTTTGGAAGCTAGAGATGTTGTTGAGGCCAATGTCATTTTTGCTGGGGCCAAGGCTGTCGGGAATTGATCTAACACTCTGAGGACTGAAGTCAATGTTGAAGTAAATGTCATTGCCTTGCCACATGTCATTGCTGGAAGTAGAAGTACAATCCAGAATAATTGCATTTTGGGACTCAGGGGTGTTGTTTGGATTCATGTCACTTCTGGCATCAGCAATATTTTCACAGTCAACATCAGTAAATAGTCTTGAAGCATTGCCTGCACTTTTGGTGTAAATGACCTCTTCAGGATTAGTACTGCATTTGCAATGAATATCATCATTAAGGCCACTCTCGATGTTAGAATCAGGTGCACTGTTGGGGTCATCACCCTCGTTAGGGTCATCATCTCTGTCGGAATTGGCATCACTTGTAGGGCCAGAACCACTGCTAGGATCAGATCCGTCATTGCTATCAGTACTATTTCCAGAGTTGCTGTCCTTTGGATCAGTGTCATCAGGATCAGACTTATCTTTGGGATCTTTCTTATCATTGCTGTCATCTTCATCTTCACTATCTGCTTCATCTTCAACATCTGCATCATCTTCAGAGTTTGTCTCATCTTCACGGGCTATCTCATGTTTGGGAAGAGGTTTCATTTTAGTACTTGATTTATATCTGTATTTTTCAGGACTAGAAGGTTGAATGTCATTGTCAGAATTATCTTCAGTTTCAGGACTTGTTCTGTGTTGGCCCGTAGTACTTTGGGAGTCCATGGGAAAGGTAGCAGCAATAGTGGAGCCAATGAGCTTTTGGAGAGCTACACAACTGTCACAATGCAAAAATTTAGGAGTTTCTTGGTGTACAGAACAACGGATTTCCACAGGAGATCCAGGATCTTGGGACTGAGATAAAGAGATCCTCTGAGAAGACTTGCAGTGTCTACGAGATTTGGGGCCTGGAGAACGTTTAGTCTCTGATGGAAAATGGAGTTGTAAAGGATGGTCAGAGTCTGAATCATCATCAGAATCCACAACACATATATGGGAAAGAGAGCTCTTGATTTCCTTAAAACATTTGGTGCATTTTTGATTGCCCACGGGCAAAGAAATTGTACTCTCTCTTGGAACCTTGGTACGAATGACAGACTTAGAAGTTGTACTGCATGAAGGGACTGGTACAGCAGACATAAAACTCTCAGGACTTATGAGTTTAGTAAGATCAATTTGAGACCAAAGATCCTGAAAATTGTCATCACCCGTGAAGTCCTGGGAACGATTCTTGCTGTAAGATACTTTACGACTCATTTTTCTGGGAGGCTTCTCATCTGTGAGTGTATTTGGGTCTGGAGAAATGTTGAGGCTGTCTGATTCCGTTTTTTGCTGTGAAGCTTCGTTGTTTCTGAGAGCTTGAGAATCCTCTTTGAATCTCACAATCTTGTCATCACTCATGTATCTCACAAGTTGTATTCTGGAAACTTATAGAGAAAAGTAAAATATGAGCAAGGCTAGCCAAGACAATGAAATCTAACTTTATGTTCTCATTATAACCTCAGTTTGTGCAAAGGAAACAATATCATCCTTGAATACTTTATAGTAAATGTAATCTGGTATTTTTCAAGGGTAGGCCACAACATTAAATTTTCTCCTTACTTTTTGGAAGATCAGTCATTCCTGAATTAGATGAACAAAATAAAACTCTGTTTTCACATGGGTAGGTTATTACATATCTATTTTACTTTTCTATTTGCTTCTAGAAATCCTGTCACTTAATTCTTTATTATAATATCATCCTTGCTATTTTTAAAATCTCCACAATTTGAGACAGAAAATATCCTTGTTTGTTATGTATCAAAATTGCAAGGAATTTGTCTTCTAAATTTAATATAATGATCTGTTTCTGTAGCTATTGAGGAATCACTGGCATATCATTCTGGAAATTTAGATATTTATTTAGTAAAATATAATTAGACTTAAGGATTGCTTTTATTTTCCAGGTTGGTAAGTAAAATCTGAATTTTTTGTGTGCTGGTCCTAGACTTAAACTCAGGGCCTAGATAATATTCCTGAGCTTCTTTTTGCTCAAGTGTAGTGTTCTACCATTTGAGCCATACCTCAACTTGGAGCTTTTGGCAGTTAACTGGAGATGAATCTCATGTACCTCCCTGTCCAGGCTAGCTTTGAACTGCGATCCTCAGATCCTAGCCTCCTGAATAGCTAGATGCCTGACTACAAAATTATTCTTTGGAAATAGTGTAAGAATATTGAATGTTAAGAATACTGAATGGTAATTTCTAATTTCTAAATTCATCATTTTAATGTAAAACCCTCATGATTTTCTCTTTGAGAAAATGAAATTATATCCTTATAGAACATAAATTCATTACGTTGGATCTGATCACATGATAGCACGAAATGATAGTCCCATAATGGAGAAGACATGATGTATTGATAGCCTATCTTCTCGTATACTTCTGAGTTTCTTTTAAGCTAGATTGTTTATAACAATTCTAGTACATTCCACAGTTATTTTGAATATGAAGAGATATAAAAACATCTATATTGTGTTTCTTTTTGTGTTTCTATCATGCTGTAACCCTTGGTGACTAATTTATAATATTAGCACTATTTAGATAAAATAAATGTATATGGTATCAAGGAGTAGAGGCAGTAAATATGATAATTATAAAGTATAATACATACAAAAGTACAGCTGTACATTTTATATTCCAAGCCAAGTACAGAAAATAACAAAGGTGATAATTATCATATTTACTGCTTCTACTCCTTGATACCATATATCATTTATTTTATCCAAATTATGCTAATATTATAAATTAGTCACCAAGGGTTACTGCATGATAGAAACATAAAAAGAAACACAATATAGATGTTTATATATCTCTTCATATTCAAAATAACTGTGGAATGTACTAGAATTGTTATAAATAATCTAGCTTAAAAGAAACTCAGAAGTATACAAGAAGCCATGCACTGACAGCACATTCCTATAATCCTACTACAAAGGAGGCTGAAATGTGAGGATCAGGGTTGAGTAGAAAAGTATGAGACTCTATCTCCAATTAATCAGCAAAATATCACTGAACCAGGTCTATAGCCCTTGTTTGCAATTATTAAATTTAGACAGAGTGTTGTTTTTTGCTTGGACCCACACCTAAACTATGATTCTACCATTATTTGCTGAGATAAAAAGACCAACATATAATATCAATGAAGCTTAGTTGATTTTTAAAGATAAATTAGAATAAAGCAGTAGATATACTAGTTAAAACAGAAAGCCTTCAAATAACTAAAATCAGAGATGGAAACACAGACATGATAACTGAAATCACAGAAATAAAACTGTTCAGAAGAGTAACTATGCAAAATAAATTGTATAACCTGTACAACATCACTATAAATATACATACAACCAAGTGAAGATATAGAAAAGTCAAATACACTTAATAAAATGGTGGCGGGGTAGATGGCCGTGTTGTAATCAAAACTGCTCAAAAAAGGAAAATCCAAGGATAGAGAAATTTCCGGGTAAATTTTACAAAACTTTCAAAGAATTGTCATTCCTCCATGCGTTCTCAAATTGAAGAAAACAAAATATTTAAAAACTTATTTGCTGGGCACTAATGGCTCATGACAGTAACCCTACCAACTGAAGTGGCTGAGATCTGAGAATTGCAGTTTGAAGCCAGTCTTGGCAGAAGAGTCCATAAGACTCTTATTTTCAATTAACCACCAAAAGCCAGAAATGGAGCTGTGGCTCAGGTGGCAGACCATTAGCCCTGAGCACAAAAGCTCAGGGACAATGCACAGGCCCTGAGTTCAAGACCCATGACTGGCACAAACAAAACACTTTTTTATGAGGCCAGAATTCTTCCAATACGAAGACACTCTCTCTCTCTCTCTCTCTCTCTCTGCAGTGAAATATCTCTCATGGATATTGATATAAAAATGCTCAACTTATAATTTGGGGAGGGGAAGGGAAAAAACAAATTGTTTAAATAGGGATACAGGTGGACCCATTGCAACAATGAGATGTACAAGTCGTTATGTCGAAAACGAACTTTACAACTTTGGCACGCTGGGGTGGGGGGTGGAGATGGGAAGGGATGAGAAGGGGAAACAAAGGAGAAGCAACAATGCTTGATAAGAAATGCACTCATTACCTTGCCCATGTAATTGTAACCCCTCTGTACAGTATTTTCACAATAAAAAAAATGTTCAATAGAATCCTAGCAAACATAATTTAACCGTGTACTAAGGCTTATAATCCAGACCAAATGAGATTATTTCTAAGATACAAGGAAAAACAGAATGAAAGAGAAATATGCCATGATTAATCCAGGTGTGGTGGCATGTTTTTGCAATCCCAGCACTTGGGAGGCCAAGGAAAGGGGATAAAAAGTTCAAGGTCAGTATGAGTTACACAGTGAGTTTGAGTCTAGTATGGGTATATAGCAATACTGAAATCGCAATACTGGGTATCAAAAAGCAAAGCAAAGCAAAAGAAAACAAAACAATTTCCATCATCTCAATAATTCAAACAACATCCTCTTTGATAAAATTCACACACTTCCATGTAATAAACACAGTAAACTACTAATAAATATATATCAACAAAATAAAAGCCAAAGAGCACAAAGCTAGTTTTATATTCAACAGCAAGGAAAAAATATAAGCTTTTTTCCTGTAAGATCAGCAACAAGGTAAAAAGGCTTGGTATCACCAGGGAATTTTTCATCAGAGACAGAAGCATGTTAGAGGGCAGGAAATTATAAAGAAAAGCTGTAGAATTTGATATGAGTGCTACACATAATTATATAGAATATATAGTATAGAACACTATGTGGTAATGTAAAACCTGTACTAATTTCTATGAATTTTAGAAGAAGAAACAAGAAATTGAAACAGCATGGAATCTTAATAACATTAGCAGAGTAAAATAGTTATTTGCATATGATTCAGATAATTCCATATTGTAGGAAGAATGTTGATTTTGAGTGAAAAAGCTTGTATTTATAAATTTGGTTCTGACACTTGTAGAGACATTTACAAGTTGTTTCTAACATCCAAAGATTAGTGAAGGTATTTTCTTTTAAAATGTTATATTTTAAAATAACATTTTAAATTTATCTTCATAAGGGTTAAATGAAATGTCCAATAAAATTTAAGCATTTCTACTTTTCCAAGATAATAGAATCTTGTTGAGATTAATGGCACAGTTTACTTCCTCTTATAAATCTATTTCTTTGTCACAAATACTAAACTAGTCAGTATTTTGTTAATTGTTATAATTTTCAAAAAGTATAGAAAAGTAAAATTCTTTCAATTACATGAAAAATATTAGGCATTTTACTTCACATACAACTATTTTTAGAAATTAATAGCTAAGTTTCTTCAAAGTCAGACAAATCCTCAGATATTAACCTTCAGGACAGTCATATGAATAGAGCAGTAACTTTATTGACATTTAAATTCATTCTCAAACTGTCCATGATTCTAATTCTTGATAAATGTTTTATTAAAATATTCAAAAGTGGGCTGGGAAGGTGGCTCAGTGGTAGAGCGCTTGCCTTGCATGCATTAGGCCCTGGGTTCGATTCCTCAGCACCACATAAGCAGAAAGAAAAAAGCCAGAAGTGGTGCTGTGGCTCAAGTGGTAGAGTGCTAGCCTTGATCTGAAGAGCTGAGGGACAACGCTCAGGCCCAGAGTTCAGGCCCCAAAACTGGACCCCTCAAAAATATTCAAAAGTGTATGATTTTATTATTTAAAAACAAAACATTTATGCAGTTGATTTTAGTTATTTCTTCATGGATAGATATTTAGAAATAGCTTCTAACAAATACAGAAAAAGATGATGTTACTGAAAATGGATAAATAAACTCCACAACTTCTTTTTTCTACAAAATAATTAAAAAACTGTCAAAAATGTCCAGAATAAACTTGTTCAAAACTCTGGAATGAAAACCTTAAAATAATCATTTTTTCCTGCATAGAATATTATGTAGGAAATTACTGAATTTTTTTTTGTTTTATTTTTTGGTGTTGCTCCTAGCACTGGAGCTCATGGCATGAACATTGCTCCTGATCTTTTTTACTCAAGTCTACTGTCTACCACTTGACTAACACCCATTTCCAGATTTTTGTTTTGTTTCATTTTTGATTAGTTTATTGGAGATGAGTCTCATAGACACTGCCCAGGCTGGCTTCAAATCACCATTCTTGGATCTCCGACTTCTGAGTAGATAGGATTACCATGGCCCAATTTTTACTGTTAGATCATCCCCACCTTCTGAGAATAAACCAATTATGGTGCAATATCTTCTATGATGAATTCTTAAGCTCATATTTTGCCTATAAGCATTCATCTGTGGTTTATGTGGGATATTGTTTTGTGATTCATTTTTTCTTGTCATAGATTCATCATTTTTTTTGAGTTATGCTGTCCTGACAACATGA